CCTCCCCCTCTCTCGCTCTCTCTCTCGCTCACTCTCCCCCCACCAGCCCCACCTTCTGGCTCATTCACTCTCTGGCACTGCATTTGGATTTAGTGCAGGTCTCTTTTTGCGGTCTCTTAAGCAGCCGGCGAACTTTTCTGCCGTTGCTTATGCACACACTTTGTTTGCCTTCGCTTGCTTATTAATCACTTCCTTCTTGCGTTTTGCACGCGCTTCGCGTCAGTCCCCCATTTCCCCCCACTAGTGCACCTCCGAACCCTCCCCCCCCCCCCCCCTGCCACCTCATCCACCTACGACAGCTTAATGAACCATCTAAAGCACCAAAAGCAGCCCACGCCATGCATTTTGTGCATTTGTCAGCAGGCGACACAGACAGGAACACACACACACACACACACACACACACACACACACACACACACACACACACACACACACACACAACCTTGAGCCTTATGCAATTGAGTTTCGCCTAGGGGTTGAGGCTGTTTGTTTAGGGGCTTGTTTAAATATTAATATTTGCGGTTTATGCTTGCTGCATACTTCAGTGTATATCGATACTTATCGATGCATATATAGTTGATTAATTATCGATGTAAATGCTATTCTATCGATTACTTCAGATATTTAATTGTAATTTTAAAGATTTATCGTTAAACTTTGATTAAGTATCAACGATCGTCGTCTGCTGTGAATTGGGGCTTAAGCTCGAATTATGTGTGCTTTTCGATATAGTAAAACGATAACTAACTTAATAAACTGACGAACACCAAGAATTATGGTTTAAGTTTGACTTATATATATGTATATCGATAACTATCGATAAATACTTCGAGAAATTTTCGCGTCCAAGCAAGATTAAAGCACAAGCCTAAATGAAACTGACTTAAGTGAACGCTTTTATATCTTTTACTAAACATATTTCATGAAATTTATCGATATGTAATTTGACATGTAATCGATATACATTTTAGGCTTCAATTCAGTGCTCATAAATTATTGCCAGTTTGTTTTTAGCTACCCAACCCGGAGTTTTATTGTGAAATACGCAAAAGGCTATTCGAGCAAAACGTTTAAGGACAAGAAGCAAAAGAGAATCGGAGAGAATGGGCAACATTTCATCTACAAATTTCCCCGCACTTATCACATTTTTCTGCACTCGCATTGTCTTTATCAACATATTTAATCATTCAGCTTTTGCTTTGATCGACATTCATTCAGCTGATGTGAGTTGTTCATCTGATTCATTCATGCCAGCGCTTCCGCATTCACAACAACAGCAACAACAACAACAATTACGCACACTTGTTGCCAGTGTTGGCAATCGGCATTTTATGCAACGCGAGCGCGCTTAACTAACTTTAACTTTATGCATTGCTTTTAATGTTGCTTATTTATTTATTTATGGTTTTCTTGTTGTTGTTGTTGTTGTTTTTTAATCGAAAAATCGTGCCCAGCTGCGTGTACGGGGAGGCGCCACCGTTCACAACGGCAACGGCACGCAGCTCGCACGCCAAATGATTAGCGCCAATTACGTATACGTATTAAAGATATATATGTACATATATGCAGGTATATGTATATAAGAAATGCAGCTTTTTTTTCACCAGGAAACGTGCCTGGTGTGTGCTCTGTGATTGGGCACACTTGGATGCGATTGGAACGGGCGCCCACGCATTAGTCGATTGTCTAGACCCTTAGAGCCAGGCAAAAGTAAACAAACTTAAAGTTAGTTAGTTAGCCAAACTTGGAAAGGTACATGAAGAGCAAGCAAGTGAGCTTATCTGAGAATAGTGAAGCCCGTAATTGCTGAGCATAATGAAAATAGCTTGGTAAAAAGAATATTCTGCAATACATAAGCTATATCATAGAGTAATGTGATCTTGAAAAGACTTGGCACATACATATATAAGCAGCATTGTTTAAATAGTAAATGGCAACGTCTCCTTCTATTTCATGACCCCCTACAAGCGTACACACAAGCTCAATATTATATATATCATATCATAAATGATGTTTCTGTGCAAATGTAACAGGCAGCTGAAAGCATCTCAGACCGTATAAAACAAAATAGTCTTGATCAACACAATTGGGTCGACACAACCTTGCCTGTCCATCTTTATGAACGCGTCGAGCTCGAAAACTACTAGAGACTTATTCGAATATTATATGCAGCTATGTTAAACGTAAAGCGACTTTATCATCTTCGGCTCGATATATCGCCCCTTTTCATAGTATCGATAAATATCGATTTTGATTCTTTAAGCAAAACTCGAAAATTATAAGCTAGAGACTTGAACTTCGAAAACTATTTCCAACTATGCCAAAAGCAAAACAAGTATATTATATTTTTCTCGATGTATCTCAATTTTATAATATCGATAAATATCGATTTAGGCATTACTTGAAAATGATATGCTAGAGACTTGAACTTCGAAAAATTAATCGAAAAACGAGTATATCGATTTTCTTTCGATATCTTGCCCATGATTTTTTAAGCATAACTCGGATATAATACGAGCTTAACACACCAAGCTTGGTATGTAGGCTTTCGCATAATTTTTACAGATTAAATACACCTCTCCCCCTTGCCAAACAAAATTGTAAAAGACTTATTAAATATGTAGCTACAGTCCTGAGCTTTGGTATGCACACACACTTTTGTATGCCCTGTGGAAGCACCGAAAATTGCATAAAGATCGGACCATATGCACCGAACTTGTATGGGAAAAAGGGGCAGAGGCAGCATAGACTTTGCCGGGACTTATTTCGCATTTGTTTCGTTGTTCAGTTCAAAAGATCGCTGAAGCAGTTCTAGCGCTTTTGAGGCCTATTGCATAACAACAAATTTGCAACCTTTCAACTGCAACTGTAATATGAAAAAACTGTTTGCGCTGAGGTTGTTGTTGTTCGTTGTCGTCATTTGCCATTACTCGTAAATGTCACATATTTATGCTGATGATAACGGCGCTGTTTGCCGTTGCGAGCGTGCGAAACAGCCAAGCGCTGCCCGCTGCTCGCTGCCCGCTGCCCCGTGCCGCCCCCCTTTGAACGTTGCATGCAACAATTCGCTGTCAACAAAGAAACAAACGCAGCGAACGCTGGCAAAACTCTCTAAAGTGACTAAAACAAAATTGATTTGTCACGCTGCGCATAAATTGCACATGAGCAACTGTTGCTGCTGCTGCTGCTGTTGTTGTTGTTGCTGTTGTTGTTGTTGTTGTTGTTGTTGCTGCTGTTATTTGTGCTGGAAGCTGCAGTCATTGCAGTCACTTTGCCATGCTTTTCAATCAATAGAAACAACCTTTTTTTCCCTTTTGTTTTTTTTTTTTGCTTTTTCCAGCAGTTTGCTTGGCTTCTCTTTGGCATTTCCTAAGCTTTCATTTGGCTTTTGCCATTTCATCAATTAGGCGTTAATTTTTGCCTGCCTGCAATTTAACGGTGCTAACGTTTTATTAATGAGCCAACGCATTTGGGGCCTGGGAACCAGCCAGAGCTGCAGCCAGCTGCAACTGCCACAAAATGTGTGGCAATCAAATGCCATCAAATTCAATCAAATAAATAAACTTTGGCAAATGTCTTTGCAAATCTGAAATAAAAAAAACTAAAAAAAAAGTGTGCCCAAGGCCAAGGTCGGCCGCCTGAAACGTTTGGTAATGGAACGGATTGGCTTAGAGCGAGCGTTGCCTGAGCAGCTGGGCGTGGCAGAGCGCGACGAGGGGCGGCGGCAACAGCAATTGTTGTTGTTGTTGTTGTTGTTGTTGAGCGGAAGTGAGCGACGTCTGCGCTTTGCTTTTGACAATGGGAAGTGAATGCAAAGATCACCGCCAACAGCAGGCAAATGTGTGTGTGTGTGTGTGTGTGTGTGTGGACAACAATTGCCTGGCTGCTGGGAAGGTTTCAATTTTAATTGTCTTTTTTTTTTATTTCTCATTTTGCGCAATTGCAAAAATTGCTTTAATTAGCCAAAATGTATGTATGTGTGTGTGTGTGTGTGTGTGTGTGTGTTTGTGTGTTGCTGCGTTAATTGCAGCAGCCAAAAAATTAGCCAACACTGACACACACACACACACACACACACACACACACACACACACACACACACACACAAGCTGTCAGCCGTCATGGCTGCTGAAGCGCTTTTTGATTGACAGCTGCCACGCCCCCTTGCCAAACATCTGCCCCCGCGACGCGCCTAGCACCAGCCTCTCCAGCCTTCGTACTGTACTATTTCATATAGCCCACAATTTTATTGCTTTAAGCGGGCCTCAACAAATTTGCAGACTGCGCAACTGCAAATTATTTGCCATAATTAATTATTATTTATTTGTTATTCAATGAGCATCATATTTTAGGCAAGCGCTGTAATAGGTTGTATAAATATTCTAATAATAAATTATATTATTGTTAATATTTGTTGACTCATTTTCAATTAGCGACAATCGTCATCAGAGAAGCTAGAACGTTCCCAAGTTTATCATTATTACTATAATTATTATTATTAATAATATTATTATTGATAACTCAACTATTTAAAAAGCACCGAGAAAAGTTGCATTCATAATTCAGACTGCGACCCTTTTATGGTTTCTGTTTATTAGTCAAAAAGCCGTCTAAAATCTTATAACTTTTTACCTCATACATTTGAATATAAAATTATCATTCAGCTTCTACTTTTTTTGACGAGCATTTAAATATGAAAATCATTTTTAAAATTTGCCAAGCTTTGAAATTCTTATTTGTATTTGGCATTCAGATTAAACTACTTGTCAAAATCGCTTGTCAAATTTGACACAGAAGTTCGATTCGAATTTCGAAATGCTGAGTAAACACATTAAATACATATGAGAGCATAAAATGGCAGCTAGTTGGACATTTAAATATATTCAATTAAAAAATATGGTTTATCGGGCCATAAACGTATTAATAACATATTTAATTAGTTTATATATATATATAGCATTTTATTAGTTACAAAATGAGTTTAATTGTGGACTTACCTTAAACTAAAACACTCGCCAGTCGGGCGTTACCCGTCCAGCAATCCATAAGTTTCAATTTTCAATTGATTTGTTTTTTTGTTGTTGTTTTTGGGCCGTCGTCGTTGGTTGTTGTTGTTGTTGTTGCGTTTGCTGTTGACGTTGTTGTTGTTGTTGTTGTTCTTGTGGTTAATTATGTCGCTTTTGGTTTGAATTTGTTTTTATTTGATGCTTGATTCGCCTTATTTTGCTTGATTTTATTTGAATTTCTTTTTTTTTTTCACTTTTTGCACTCCGAAAACTGTTGCGTAGCACGTTGTACAACACTGCTGTCCGAAAAATAACCGTTTTTTAATGTTTTCTTGCTTTTGGTTTTTGGTTATTGTTTTTTTGTGACTTTTGTGTTTTGTTCTTTTGTTTCGAGCTCGAAAGAATTGTTGCCCAAAGAAATTGTTCAAATTGTGATCATTTTTTATGCTGCTTCTTCTTGTTTGCTTTTATATCGTTTATCTTAATGTGTTATCGATAAAAATGTAATTGGTCCAGTTGGTTGCAAATATTTCGTCAAGTTTGCTTTTGAGAGAGAGTGCCCGTGAGTGTGTGTGTGTGTGTGTGTGTGTGTGCGAGAGAGAGAATGTTTTGTTTTCAATAGCCGGAGAGCGCTGCCAGAGTTGTAGCGTGTGATTCTTGTTGTTGTTGGTGTTGTCGATAGACTTTTTGCTAAGTTGCTTATCGATTCGCCGAGATTTCGTAGTTGATTTTCTTTAAGTTTTACACGCTTTCTTCTTCGTTGAAATTTAGAATTTTGAAGAATATGCTGCAAGGAGATGATAGAAAACAAAATGGGAAAGTTAGTTAGAAAGATCTTGCTTATATAGTATGTATGTAAGTAGAGTACAAATAATATTTTATCTAATGTCTCAACTATTTCTAAATATTCGCTACAACTCATATATTTATAATTATCATTTTAATTAGACTCTGACTAACTAACTACTAAAATAAACATTATTGTTCGCAATGCCAACTTGGCTTTCAAAATCTGGTCACACTTTGTTGAAAAGCTCAGTTCACAGTTAACAGTCAAGAACTTTAAGAAAACAAAAGCAAAGTTTTGAATAGTGCACAAAGAAAGAACAACAACGACAACAACAACAACAAAGCTCAAATGTAGGCTATGGCAAGCAGAGAGAAATGGGCGGGCGACGGGCGACGGGAAAGTGTGGGCGTTGGGCGGGTCTGAGTGGGTGGCGGCAAAAACTGCAGCCAACAATTTGACGTAAAACTTTCACTATTTTAATTACCTAGCGCAAATTTTGTTGTAGAACAACAACAACAACAAAAGCTTTGCCAATGCCAAAGTCAGTTGTTGTTGTTGTTGTTGTTGTTGTTGTTGTTGTCTGTCGCTGTCTCAAAAGTCTGGCAAATGTCTGCGGCTGCTTCAAGTGCCCTGCAATACAAGTGCAGTCAGACACACACACACACACACACACACACACAAAGAGCACATGCATGAAAAGTTTTGCAGCATTGTTGTTGCTGCTGTTGTTGGTGCAACATGTGGCATGCTTAATTATGACGCCGGGAAGTCACAGCGACAATGTCAACTGTTGAATTATGAGCTCACACACACACACACACGCGTACAACATGGAGTGAAAAGTTTAATTTTTGCCAACTTTTGTGCCGCGTGACGTCATCGTCGCCTTTAACTTTAGTTGCTCTGCTTCTTCCTCGTCCCGCCACATATTTTAATCAGCCTTGCAGCATCTCGCATCAACTTTATCAAAATCACGAGAGCAACAAGCTGCAACTGAAAGTTGCGCTGGCATTGAAAAACTTTTACTTTGCCGCATAAGTAGGTTGCCTCAAAGTCAGTCTCTCTCTCCCTCTCGCTCTCTCTCTCGCTCTCTCTCGCACTCTCTAACTCTCACACACTATCTCATGTTCTGTCTGTCTGTGGCAAAAGTTCAAGTTCATGGCAAACAGATTTCCTTTAAGCTAAATTATGCATAACATTAAGTTTATTTGCAGCAAAATTATTCAAACAGGAAGTGAATAGTTGCATGAATAGATTGAATATGAATAGATAATATTCGCATTCGTATTTAAAGCGAATTTGTTAACCTGATTCCTAGTTTTTTTCACTTTTCATGCTAATAAATTAAACGTTTGCACGTTGAAAGCTCAAAAGCTCGCAGCTATCGTAGCCAGATAGCTTTACAATGTGGATTACAATGAGGTTTGACATTAAGTTTCATACAGCTCTTAAAATAGACTGATTAACGCCAGCTTTTTAAACGTAAGTCGCAACACATTTTGCTTAAAATCAGATATAAGACAGAGCTTAAATGATATCAGCTAAAAGATAAACAGCAATTAAAACAAACTCAGTCACGAATATGACTTAAACATGTTTTAGAAAAACAAAGTAAACACACGTCTTCGGGCAAAAATCATATTATCTATCATCAGTCTGAAAAACAGCACACATTTTCGAAAGTCTAGGTTTGTTTTTTTATTTTATCGAATGCTAATGTCAACTCAATGTGAACTTATGTTGACTGCCTGTTAACTTATGTTCACTCGTATAGTGCTATGTTAACACTATGTTGCAAATGTTGACTCAATGTAAAATTAATTTATGTTAATTTGGGAATATGTTACTGGTGTTATACAATTGAATGTGAAGCTGATGTTGTAGGATATTAAACAAAGGAATTGATAACAGACTGATCCTGTTTTAACATATGTTAACTCACGTTGTCCTTTGTTAACATAATGTAAGGAATGTTTACTCAACGTAATGTTAATTTGGGAATATTCTTTTGTTTATTTACATTATTTAATGTAAAGCAAATGCTTGCTTTATCGGAGAAGATTAAGGAAGTGTTAACAGACTGACTCCCAGTTAACATATGTTAACTCGTGCTGTGCTAAGTTAACACTATGCTACGAATGTGATCCCAAATAATGTTAAACTATGTTAATTTGGGAATGAGTTTCCCTTTATTTACAATTGTATGTAAAGCAAATGTAGGCTTTGTTGGAATAGTATATTAAACCAAGGAACTGATGAAAAGAATGCCGTAGCATTTGCTGGCAGCAGTTGCTGGCAAATGAAATGAAAAGCTGGCGAATAATGCAGCACGGGGCAGTCAGACTAAGAGCCAGTTAGTCAGACAGTTAGACAGACAGTTGGACAGAGGGGCACAGACAGGGCGACAGTTAAGCTAAACCAATGCCAGACAGTCGGCAAAGTGTGAAGACGGGACAGGGTGCAGGGGGTTGGAGGGGGAGACACAGTTGTGGCAGACAAAGGTTGTTTGGTAAATACCAAACACGGCGCAGAATATGTCTATGACTAGACGCTGTCTGTTGTGGCACCTTACAATAAGCAACATCCCCAAACCCCTCATGTAAAACCCCCCCTCCCCCCTGCCGCTCCCCAGCCACACGCCCCGCGCAGTTGCCTCATGAAAGCGACTCCGAGTCCAGACAGAAAGCCCAAACCCGCTGACGACGACAGCCTGATGACTAGCTGCTTAAAATGTCTGCACAGCTGTTTGATGTGTGTGTTGGAGTGTGTGTGTGTGTGTTGCATCAACAGTTGAAGTTGCAGCCATTGCGCACACACAATGCTATCGACATATTTTTTAATGTTAGCAGACACAGGACACCTCGCATAAAGAGCGAAAAGCCCCTCACGACAGTTAGTCGCAAGTCGCAGGTGAATGTTGCGCAGCGCGTGTGGAATGCCACATGAAATGGGGCAGCAACGTTGCCGTTCCCGTTGCCGTTGCTGCATACGCTGCGTGTCTGTGTGTCTGTGTGTCTGTTGCACATTAAATTTTGTTTTATTCTTGACAATGCGACGTCGTCTTGCGTTTTAATTTCGTTTTCTTTTGTGCATATTTCGTTTTCTCATTTATTTCGTTTATAATGCTCTGGACGTCAGCTGCAACAGAGTATATTCGGCTTTAATGTTTAAGCTAGAGACGCGCGATACTTGACGGAAGTGTGTGGCCACGCCTAATAGGGCGTAGTTGGAAAGTCCTAGACCTTTTACCGGCAGCACTCTCTCTTAATCTGTTTTACAACACTGCCCACAGAGTATTGCGCAGTCGTGCAACATTGTTTATTTATTTTAGTTTTTATCTGCCCTGCCCCTATTATGCTTATCGATTGCGCTGCGCCCTCGCGCCCCCTCTGCCGCTCGCCTTTTTATGATTAGCAGCCAGCAGGACGAAGGCAAGGACATTCAGTCAGCACCCTTCAGTTGCCCTTCCTCTGCCACTGCCGCTGCCACTGCCGCTGCCGCTGCCTCTGCTGCTTGTTGTTGCCATGCGTGACCGTCCGATGCCGTTGACAATAAATTTATGCAATTATCATCAACAACATCATCTGCATTCAATTTTAGGTTGCACAACTTTTAGCAGCAACTGTGCGCGCTTTGTGCCCCTCATTTCTGGCTGTACTTTTTGTTGTTGTTGTTCCTGCTGCGCCTGTTTTTTTTTTTTTGTTTTATGTTTTTTTTTTTTTCCATTTTCGCAGAAGTTAACAGCAACAACAACATTGAGAAACTGCCTGTCTTGGCGTTTATTAGAAACTGCGGAATTTCTCAGTCGAGCGTTGACGGCTGCGCGACAAATTCGTTGAATTTATGAAATTTTAGAAGTCTGCCTTAAAAAAAAAAACACAAAACAAAAAAACTGAGCAGTTTATGGAGCTCGAGTAACAGGGCACATGTCACGGAATTGCAGTTTGCATATGAGATAGCTGAAAAAAAACACACACACACACACACAAATACACACACACACATCAGAATGGCATCTCGCGCCAGTTTATTTATTGACATAAGCCCCACAAATATATCACAAGTACTTGACTTAAGTCTCTGAGCAGCCATAGAAAACTAATTTGAATACATAAATATACCAAAAATGTTCATTATATTCTCTTTTTATAGCCATCTAAGGCATCCTTTAAGTATGCCACAAATTTGCCAGCATATATGTATATATGTACATATCTATGTATATATAAGTATACAATATATATGTGTAGATCTCTAGAAATAAATTAAGTATTTGGTTTCATTTCTATTAAATATTGAGACATTTATTGAGCACTTTTAATTATTCCTTTCAGTTGAGGAATAACAAATTCGACAGTTTTTTATTTAAGATTAATATAATATTGTTGGTAGCAGTGTTGCATAATTCATCAAACTCATTTAAACTGAGGTCTCATTCTTATACAGTGCTGCACGATGCTGAGTATTGTTAAAAGCAGTGTTGCATAATTCATCAAACTGTTATTAATTGAAATTTCATTCATTATAGTGCTGCACAATGCTGAGTATTGGTAAAAACAGTGTCGCATAATTCATCAAATGTTTTGAACTTAAAGTTCTTTCTGGTTTAATGTTGAACAATGCTGAGTATTATTAGAAACCGTGCTGCATCTAACTCTTGTGCTCACGCACAGTGTTGTACAATTTCTGTATGTTTATTGTAGACCCTATCAAAAATTTCTTTCATTAACTTTCAGCAAAGCATATTCATTTTTTTATATACTTAACAGCCAGTTCTTGAAGAAATGTTGCACAACACTAGCCTAGCAGTGTTGCACAATGCAATTAACTCGAAAGCACGCAAATCTTCTACTCGCCCGCTTAGCTGGAGTTCGGCTTGCACATTGCACATACATGTGTATACATTTTATTTAACGTATTTGTTTATAATTATTGCATGATTGTTGCGGGCTGTCAGACCGCCCGCCCGGAATTGCTGACACTTTGCATTTTCGCTG